TGTTCCGCGACGAAAACAATGTTGAGCAATGGCGATGTCGAATGGTGACACTCGGTAAGTAATCCTACAATTTTTTATTTATAGCGTAGTTTATACGGATTATTTCCAAAAAAATATACGTATTTTGGAAATGTTGAGTCGGATTAGTCTAGAATCGATTAATTTTATGGAAGAAAACCTTTCAATGAGCCGTAGTCCGTAAACTTGACACGTGTCGGGCTGTGATTGGAAGGACTCGTAAGAAATCGGATTCCTAAAGAATGGAACGTATCTCTATCTTATAGGGGGGTCGACTGTATTTGTACTTATTTAAATATTTATTTATTATCACAAATTAAGCCAGGATTAAACGTTTTTAAATATATATACGTATAATGTTTAATCTGTAAAATAAATGACAAAGCAGTACACATGTATACACACTAAGTTAAAATATATATAATCACTACGAATATAAATATAAAGTCAGACTTTTTGTCATTCTGTAATCGAAAACACTTGCGAGTCTTTATGAAAAGTAAAATAGCAAAAAGCTTCAGCCGAGATTGTTTATAAAAAATTAATTTTATTTCTTAAATATTAAACAAGCTTTGTTTAACCAGTAAAAACATATTGTGACGCCACAATGTCGGACTGCAATTTTTGGTCATATTCTTTGTTACAATAAATTGTTTATTTTAAATTAGTTGTGTCTTCCCCCTGTACATAATACTGTTTCTAATAACGACAGAATTGTGCCAGTCATCTACGTAACTGCGTTGGGAGGAAAATATTTTAATTGAAATCACCTGACTTTCGGTCTATACCGGAAGTTCCTGTACATTTACTAGGGCGTTTTTTTAGACAATAAACAGTTTTCAGAATACGAAACAATTCGATTTTAATTGTCGATGTCTCATTTATACATATTTTCTGACAAGAGTTTCACTAGCGTTTATTTCACATTTATACATATTTTGTGAGAAATTTTCATTAAGTCCGACCCCTCTAAAAATATCTTGCACTATTCCGCCTCCCCTCGACCTTTAGTTACCAAAATTGAATAGTATCGATGCCCTTTACATGGGAGTTACAGTGCAAACTTTTTCTTTTGGCGTATTCTGAGATATTAAACGAAATAGACTTGTACACAGACAGACATATATTGCTGTTAAGTAACAAAAATAATTATTTAAAGTATTTTTGACGAAATAAATGGAATCTTTGTAAAAATGAACATTTTGAAAGTAACGTTATGTTTTGAATTGATTCGAATGTAATAAACTACGACATCCAACACACGTAAAAGACAGAGGATGGATAACTAATATTAAGCTTCTTAATTTAAAGAGATCTTAAAACAATAAATGTATCATCCTTAATAATTTTTAAACAGGTTATTATATAAATCGGAAATTTTCTATAATCTATTTATTAACTCACTTTCATCCATGACTTTTACTTTTTCATCTAATTCCAATGGATCTTGATCCATGCCCAATTTTTCAGCAGAATCTTGATAACAGTGAAACATTCTGATTCCTGATAGGATAATCTCACAGTACTCGTATTGCTTTTATTTTACTAAGTCAGAAAATATTTATTTAATCATAAATAAACAATTTCAAGCCATTTTAACTAACACATTTTATAACATTGTGCAATGTTGTCACGGGTTTTTTACTTGTAAATCTCTAATTGATTAGAATTATGAAATAAGTTTTATTTGAGTTTTTTCGTCCGATGGTGACGATTACAGTTAATTTGAAGACATAGTTTTTCCGAAAACAAGAACTGTTTTTAAAAATGTTTGTATTTTTAATTGGAAGTTTTCTTTGGAAGTGTTGGAAGTTTAATTAGAAGTGTTTTTAAAGGACTTTTTAACGTTTTGGCGGTAACTAGTTTAAAAAGAAAGGTCAGTCGCCAAAATTGTATTGACTGGAACACAAAAGTAATAAATAGTGTTTTCTCTTTTGGGAAGGATTATGTCTTCAAATTATTAAAATTACTTTCAATTATTTCCATTAAATTGTAACTTACAGAAGAAGACGATTTTGCTTCTTCTCTTCTCTTACGTGCCGCCAGACCCAAAATAATATGTACTATCACGTCTACAGAATTTTCCACGGTTACTTCTTTCCGATCAGGTGAACCTTCCATTTCATACTCACAACCTAGACATTAAAAGTTAACACAATAAACACAGACATTCGTAAATCTTTCTTTGCCTGAATTCAAAAATTATATAGTAATTTGAAAAAGAGAAACAAACCAAATCCCAAACAGATTACACCAAATAAACACATAAAATTGTTATTCTAGAAAGAAATTCTGAAACTTTATTGTATAGCAAATCAACATAAATGTAAATTAAAATAAAGAAAGATCAATTAATATCTGCTTAGAAATATCTTATTTTAAATGTGATATAAAAGCATAAATATTGCATAGTGATTTCATATTACTAATTGTGTAGAAAGAGCAAATTGTTTCAATTGAAAATGTAATATTAATGAAAAGTTATTCTTAGTCGAAATAAATGAACGAGTATTTATTAGCGTAAACTCAGAAGCTTACTTTATCTTCATTGATACAATTTAATTAAAAGTCAAAGTAAAATGTGAATTAAATATTCGGTTTGTAGATAAACTTCAAAAATGTAAATAATCAAATGTTTATTTATATCTTTATACTCAAGAAGAAACGATAAAAAATATAGAAAAATAAATAGGTAATTTTAACAAATTAAAAATAATTGCCACATTTGTTACCCTACGTTACAAGTTATTTCTTAGAAATCAGCAATGTTTGCATATATCTAGTGGTGAAGATCGTTTTATTTTCTGTATCTGTATTCAGCAATATCGATAAATAATGTAATAGACCAAAACATTTTGTAAATATAAAATATAGCATTGTTCAATGAAGTAAACCTAAAATGTACTCAAAATCAAGTCGTAAGTATACATTAAACACTGATACATAAGCCTACAGATTACATTTGTTACAACTTTTTATGAAATTATTTTAAATTAACAATAGATTTTTATTTTATTTTTGAATATCTTATCTTATTACAAAAATGTTGATGTAATTTCTGTTCGCATTTTGTTATTATGCAGAAATGTAAAAATAAAATAATAAATTGTTATTCATTTGCAGAAAATAAATTTAACGTTCGAATTGTCTGCAGAAGAAAATGACTGCAAAGTTCAATATCGTTAATGACACTAAGAAATAGCTGATTGTAATATTTATGTTCTTGATAATTGCTGTTTACAATAAGTGACAGTTTCTGGTTAGAAAGTATTTAATAAATTAAAGTTAAGCATGAAAGTATTTTTGGCGCTTGTTAACTGATAGCTTTTACTGTTCTTCTCTATTGGGAAATTCGGGCTAAATGCACGATTTTTTAATGATTGTTTAATTGGAAATATTTTCAATGTATTTACGAAATTATAAAATTTCAGGAATATTCCAACAAATTTTTGAACGTAAAACAGAGAAGAGAAAACGCGTTACTTCAGCTCGAAAACAACCACAATTACATTTGTTTATTAATGTGAGTAAAATCTAATCACAGCAAATGTGATGAATTTATATTAGATTTTAGTGGATCGTTCGTATTCAAGAGAAAGAATGAATTCCTTATCAACATATAACTTGGTTATAAAACTTTTGAAAAATTTGGTAAAAAATTACTATTAGTTTTATGTTTTTCTTTTTATTGCGAACACGTTATGAAAGAGTTAATATAATTATACAATAAAAATATAGTTTAACTTACAAGAAATATTCATTTTTTAAAACAAAATTCACATTCGATATCTATCCAATTCAACAAATCGCATCGACAATCGCCGAAAATGTATTGTTAATATTTATTGTTTACGCAACAATAAGAAACGTGCTTACCGAATGATGACGCGTGCTAAGCGTATGTGAAGTCGTTTTATTTTTGAATTTACTCCTCGTTGCCACTTTACCGATAATCTGTCAACTCGATCGGCGTAGTGTAAATTTGTTTCATCCAAATTTTTATTAAAAAACTCTGGATGTGTCGCAGCAATTTTTACATCACTATATTCATTGCACTAATACAATGAGCAAAGTTCCGTCCTTTTTTTTTCAAATTCGATAGCAAAATCGGCTAATTCTTTTCTGTTTGGAATCTTTACGTAATCATTTGCCAATAGCTTGACAAGTTTCATTACTTTTTGTGCAAACAGTCGATCTACCCATTCGAAATGCAAAAGATTGGGAAAGTTTTCAATCTCCACCTGCTAAATATCTAAAATTATCGAACATATTTTTACTAAAATTATATTTTTTTCTCTGTCGTTTTGGTTTTTTTTTTCTTCCTTTAGATTTTCTCCTTTTTATAAATATTAAACGCACGTGAAGACAGTTATATGAATTGTTGTGTTTCTTTAATTCTCTAGTTTTTGATTATTAAGTTAAATGAACTTTCCGCGTGTGATCTGAATAAAGTTAGCGCTGGAAATTCCTTCAAAGCTATAAATGTTATAGCAGCAGACAACCCTTAAACAGAAACAAGTAGAATGGCAGACCTGACATGTGAGGAAATTGCTCATAATCCAAACGAAACAGAATTGTTTTATTTTCTAAGTTATAACTCTATGGAAATAACGAAAACTAATTTAATAATTATTATTTTTTAAAAGTTCAAATCTCAAAAACACAACATTGGTGTAAAAAGTGTTATTTAAAATGACGGCAAATTGATTATTTATTAAATAAATTTTTTTCGGAGTCAATGAAAAAGAATTCGAATAATGTAACACTATTCTAACAGGAATTAAAATTACTTCCTCGATTATCTGCATTCGTCAAAAGTGTATTATATTTGTTTATAACAAAAACTATTGAATATGGATTGAAGTAAAAGTTAAGATTGGTTAATATATATTTTTTACTTTTGCAGGATTTTTCACTCGTTAAAGTTATTATTACATCCATTATTACACTATTACATTATTATTATTATATGTTTATTAATTTGTGTATTGTGTGCGCAGTATTGGCTGTATAGTAACTTGCAGCTAAGGCGAAACTGATTTTTGTTGTTATGAAATATATATTTCATGCTCGGTTTACGTACGAAGACCTGGTCACAGAAACTGGATTTAACATAAGTGGAAAGATACTCAAAAAATACAATTTTTTATGTACCAAAATACAAAAAACAATTTGTACATAACAACACTAAGTCTATTCGTGTTACGTAATGACTCATTTGTTACTAAGTACAGGAAGTACTTAGTAACAAATGAGTCATTAATTAATGATGTGAAAAAAAAGTAAAATATAAATGACATGATGACTGAAAGATATCGAAACGTCCTCAGGCCATTCTCAGTTATCAAACGTGGTAAAAAAAAAGCATAACAGAAAACATGTTTTTGACAAGATGGCTTACAGAAAAGCTGTACCAGCGCTAAAAAACGGCGTGTCATCGATTAAGAAAATTAGTTTGAAAGGGAGAGTGCGTCGGTGTTTGAAACTATTCAAATAAGCAATTATAAGCCATCTTCGAACTTTTGCATCCTTCGATGTAGAAATACAATAGATATGATTTTTTATTTTCTACTTTTACGCTGTGATGAAAACATTTCGAGTTTTATGCAATGTCCTCGCATGTGTATATTGTTTCTCATATTGTCTTACTAAATCCAGTCAACGTAATAATTAATGTAACGATTATTATTGTAATATGTAAATTATTGAATTCATTATTAAAACACTAATTAAGAATATTTATATTAAAATATACTTAATTTTAGGGATTTTTAAAATCGAAACTAATATTAGAGAAGTGCCTGAAAATACCTATTTCGTTTTCCATTGCCTATTTTAGCAACAAATACCTCTAGTTTGCATATTTACAGATATGTTTCAAAATTCCTTATTTTTATTGACGTACAATATGTTTATTAATAATGTTTTCATTTGTATTAATTACAGTGTGACTTTATGTGTCCATAAACCCTAAAACATGCATGTTACTATGAATCTAAAATAGGCAAAATAAAATATAGATTTTCTTATTTTCATTCTTGTTAATAAAATCGTTTCTACAATTACAAAGATTATATAAACATATGAAAACACGGTTAAAAGTGTGAAAAACCAAATATTGCTTTATATTTTCAGTAGCAACGTGTTTATTTTCATCCAGGTTTCGAGTTAAGTAACAACACAAATGTTTGGAAATTAAATGAATGGAATTAATGAATGTAATATTACCACGTGATATTCTCAACGCGCTCCAGTTGTTACTCAAGTGGATATGAAAGCTCTTTCGTGTTGCCGTTGTATATTTGAAGTTGGCAAGATTTTCTGAATCAATTTCTACTGCAAGAGAAAATTGCAACTTGTCTTCTTGTATAATGGCTCGAGCTTAAGTAAAACATCAGATTCTGAGTTTTCTCAAACACAGATTTGAAGTTTACTTCGGATTGCCTATCGGTGTAATACGTATTTACTTTNCCACGCTACGGAGATTTTTACGCTAACTATCGTCTGTCAGTATGTAAATTAGGTACCGTAAGTCTAATACAGTACTGTAATTTTATACATTTCTTGTGAAAGAAACATTTCTTATTCAACGGCGATTAAAATTATTTATATTAATGATGTCTCCGAAGTTCTACGAAGTTTTCACAGAAAAATAAGTTGTTAGAAATCGGCCGCTCTTTGCTGAGCTGTTCCGCGACGAAAACAATGTTGAGCAATGGCAATGTCGAATGGTGACACTCGGTAAGTAATCCTACAATTTTTTGTTTATAGCGTAGTTTATACGGATTATTCCCAAAAAATATATACGTATTTTGGAAATGTTGAGTCGGATTAGTCTAGAATCGATTAATTTTATGGAAGAAAATCTTTCAAACAGCCGTAGTCCGTAAACTTGACACGTGTCGGGTTGTGATTGGAAGGATTCGTAAGAAAGCAGATTCCTAGAGAATGGAACGTATCTCTATCTTATAGGGGGGTCGACTGTATTACCACGTGATATTCTCAACGCGCTCCCGTTGTTACTCAAGTGGATATGAAAGCTATTTCGTGTTGCGGTTGTATATTTGAAGTTTGCAAGATTTTCTGAATCAATTTCTACTGCAAGAGAAAACTGCAACTTGTCTTCTTGTATAATGGCTCGAGCTTAAGTAAAACATCAGATTCTGAGTTTACTCAAACACAGATTTGAAGTTTACTTTGGATTGTCTATCGGTGTAATACGTATTTACTTTATCTTTTTCGTCTTAATGATTTTGGATTTGAACTAAATACAACACTCAGTAGTGATGGTTAATATCGTCAAATCTGTAACCGATAATGTGTAATAATTGATAACAGATTATGCTAAATTGTGCAAATTGGGAAAGATTACAAAAAAATACGAAGTCTGCAAGTATAAAGTTTTTCTTCATAAACGTGATTATTAACGCGAAACTAACTGCCGAAAGATCGGGCTATAAGCTCAATGGCGTATTAAAGCAGCCAGGATAAGACAAATCAAGACGGTAAAAGAAGAACTGTAACGAAATATTAATAATGATGATGTTAATTGATAATGTTAATTCAAAAAGAAATTATCACTAATTTTTGTTGAAGAGTTTGTATTCTAAATTTAAAATATAATTAAAAATTGCAGCACGGTATTGTGCCGTTGTCACATAAAATATTAATTAATGAAAACTTAAGAGTTAACTTGTGTTTAGTTAGAATAATCATAGATGACTTAACCACTTATAATTAAAATTTAGTTTTTCAATACAACGTATTAATAAGTACAATCGCTTGTATGTTTTAGCATATAAACAAATGACTTTGCTACAGACGAAATATAAGATGGAACTACGCATAAAACATTCCTTGCATTCAGAAACAAAAGTAGTTTACATTATTTTTGATGAAAACAAAAAATAATCGTTCATACACCGACATCAATTACCGTTGACATTCAGGGGTTTGGTATATTAATTATATCCTAATTATGAAGTTCCAGAAGTTGTATTCGTTATTTAATATTTCAGAAAACGGCGGATCACACTATTTTAAAATTACATGCGTATTATATATATTTTTTGTGTTATGGTGTATCTGGTATAATATTCAAAATAGAGTAAACTTTAGACACACGAATAGCTTAGTAGTTTAAAAATTTATTGTGAAAATATAATTATAATTGATCTGATGTACATTGTCATAGTAAAATAATTAGCACTACAAATGTGAAAATATTTTACTGAACTCTAATTAAACAAGTACAATGCTCATATTAATAGATGCCATTTAACACTACAGATATTCTATACTTTGTTCAACCGTTTGTTCTTCAATTTAATTCAAACATATTTTTAAATATTTTTATACTTTTTATATATATATATATTGTGGAAAAGAAATTCTTTTATTATTAACAAGATATTGCTATTATAATTGTATGTAATAGTTAGTTTATGAACTAAGAAACAAATATAATTTAATCAACAGCTTCATTTTTATTAGCCCGTTGCTCCTTCAAAATTCTGGAGTGCAAGTAATTGTTGTAGTTTACTATCTCCAAGCAGTATGAAATATCTACTATGATGCTGTTACAAATCATATAAACCAGTACAATATTCTCATGCAAAACAAATAATGATAATTTTTAAACGTCTAGAATACTGTAAATCGTAAAAGCAACTTTAAGAAATATTGAATTCTATTTAGATATGCCCATTTTCAAAAATTGAATTTACTCGAAAATTACATAAATTGTACGTTANTCTAGAATACTGTAAATCGTAAAAGCAACTTTAAGAAATATTGAACTCTGTTTAGATATGCCCATTTTCAAAAATTGAATTTACTCGAAAATTACATAAATTGTACGTTATATGTTTAGGCTTTTAATTACTCATACATTTATAAATAATAACATCTACGTGCACCCACAGAATGTGGATTCTCTGCTGTTTTGGCATCCTCTTGTAAATAACGAAGTTATCGAGATGATTGTAGGAATAACAAACAATGCGTGAAATGTAGCTTGCAGTACAATTACGAAAACGATTTTAACGAAAGTTGTATATACAAATATATTATAATAAGCGATGATTAACAATACTAATCCAGTAGATATAGCCCCTTGAATTAACGGAAAACCTACGTGACATAAACTATCCTTTAACTTTTCTTCAGTCGTTGGCTGTGATGAATTAATGAAACAATAGCATATGTGAGTAGGATAATTGACACAAAATCCGATGCAAAGAGTCAAGATAATCAGAGACACGATATCCAAATTGACTGCCCATAAAGACATGAATCCGATCGTCTGCACTGTTATGGACACGACACAGATAGCGACGATAAGAGCACAATGCAAATTGGGTATTAAAGACACAAAAATGCCAAAGATTAACAGGGAAGTGATCCAGAACAGCTGAATCGTTATCTGTTTGATAACGACTCCTTGCTCGACCATAGGTGTTATTACTGTATGGAGTACAACGGAAAATGGTGCTTCTTCGGCTATTTTCGATAAATTGTTTAATAGATTGAATTCGGTTACTCTATTCGAAACATCTTTCGCTAAGAATAAAAAAGCTACTGGCGACAATATCAGTGTAATTGTGATTAAAAATGATGTCATTCTTAAATTGTTTGGCTCCTGTGAATTTTAAGAAAATGTTTTTAAGTGCATCCATAAAATCTTCCTTCTGAGACAGATCGTAACCCCTTAAAGAATATTTCGAAATGGGATGATTTTGAAAATTTTTAAAATATTCTAACCAAGAAAGTTCGTACTCCTGTTCGGCTATATTTTCAATTGTGTGAAATTTTTTCATGAAATTATTAACTGACTCCTGAACTTATGGATTAGAATAATCTAAAGTTTCATTAATCACGACGTGCACCGTAAAAGGGTATTTGGAAAAATATTTATAAAAAACATGATATCCCTGTGTAATCTCAGAACTTTCTGAATTGAGATTGTACACGTTCAGCCCTTCCTGTAAAGACATAACGCCCCATATGCCTATTGACAACAATATAAAATACGATAATATAATAAGAATCCGGGATACAGGATGAAAAATCAAAGCTGAAAATGTATCTCTGAAGAACTTCATAAAACAGTCCTCACTTTCTTCTTTGAAATAGTCGCTTTGTTCAAGAGTTTCTGTAAAATTAAAATATGTTGTATAGATTAATTAAGTTCATTTCTATGATATTCAGTATTAATAAAGAATTCTTGCTGTACAAATATCACTGAAACTACAATGAGCAAAAGCATAACTTTACAGAAATTTTACAAACCAATTAACACTAATTTTGTTAGTAAAACGAATGAATGGAACCGATTGTATGTTGTAGCAAACACAGCAACAGACGAAGTTTAAGATGGAACTACGTAGAAAACATTCTTTTCAATCAGAAAAAGAGTAGCGTATATTATTTTTGATGAAAGCAAAAAATAAACATCTATACAATGAAAAATATAGCCGATAATATTCAGGGGTTAAATATGACATTCGTTACGATCATTCGTTATATTGATGTCTGTAAAATCAAGATTTCGCAGTATATAACTGTTACATATTCTATGCACTATGTGTCTTGAAATTATAAATATAGTATTGAAATGAAACCAATGAATACAAAATAATAAAGGGGAATATTACCCAACGGTTATAAAAAACAATAAACAGAAAAATTTTACGTCTGTATCTATTGTATACTACAAGAATAGCCACTCTGAAACTTGGAAATCTAATTTAAAAAAAGCTCACAAACTACTAGAGAATATAAATAAATTACTGGCAAATTACTGGCACTCAAAATATGCATTCCATCTGAGTGAAAATGGTAATATTGTAATGGTACCGAATTTGCACGTAGTTCTAATCTAATTAAACATGTTATTGACTTATCCTTAATTGCAAAGATATAATAATGATAAATTGTTATTGCCTTACTGTAGTTTAGTTTGTTATTATATATTTTCTCAACGTGGAAACTAATGATTAAAAGGAAAATTATACTGGTTTTTAATTTTTACGCAAGAATTGAGGAAAAAGTTCTTAGTTTAAAAATTCAGCAGCCGATATTCTGGTGGTAAAGAATATGCAAGGTGAGAAACTGCCAAAAGAAATATAAAGAATCAAGACACAGGTCTGGTACCTAAGAACTTGTGAAAAAAACAAATAAGGCTCCCACTATAAGATTACCTGTAAGTATAAGTAAAATGTGTACAGGTAGCTAAATGAAGAAAGTCTTTTTCCTCAATTCTTGCGTTAAAATGAAAAACCAGTATAATTGTCTTATTAATGATTAATGTCCAAGTTGACAAAATATATATTAATTTATTACTGATGATTTTATATCGACTACATGAATTTTTGGTAAATATTTATCTGTGTTGTTTGAGATTGTTTTGCTTAATCTGAACCTTTTCACTGTATGACTACAAGCATGTTCTAGATTATTTGTTACTACTAGTTCAAATATTTGTTTTATGAAGGTTTCTGAAAGTAGAATTTAATTCAGGCATGGCCAACATACGGCCCGCGAGACAGATCCGGCCCGTCTAATGAATTTATGTGGCCCGCGATCAATCTTTCAATATAAGTAACTGAAGGCCGAATATCTCAATAAAAAATTTTGACGTCTAAAAAAAATCAACAACTCACTGTGCGTTTAGAGTTAACACTCCATTACAAATCTTGTAAGTACAGCATATAGTGTTGATGATGCATGATAATTCGAAAAATGTATCTGTAATCTGTATCTACAATTCAGTCTCTACGGGGTGACACCACAATGAGATCTCGCACCACCTCAAAATCTTCCTAGGGCAGCCTCTGGTTCTGTCTGTGTGAAAAGTTTTCTATCCAATTCCGCCCGGGGGCAAAAACTGTTAGTTTTTACGTGCGTAATAAAAAGAATGTTTAACACGACACTGTCGACACCGTGAAGAAATTTGCCCAAAGGAAGAAAGGTTATAACGTTTCTCATTGGAGGATATAGATTTCAAAACGGATTAGCTTAAAAACTTCATGGGTTGTCTCTTTAGATGCTGGAAACATCTGTCCGATTGCCTTTATTCTAGGCACAAACAAATATATAAAAATCTTAACATAAAATTCACGACGTTAGAATATGTCTCTTTACTATCTTTTGATATACAGTAGACCCCCCTATAAAGTGGGTTCCTATAACAGAAATTTTTATAACGTAGCGAAAAAATTGTAGCAGTATTCGTATAAAGTGACTCGTAAAACGTCGTCGCCGACTCCTGTCTCGACAAAATTGCTCGAATCTGGACCAATAGTGGACGAGCAGCCATACTACTTTCCGCCGCCCAGCGTCACGCTACAGAGAGTTTAGGCTGTTAATTGAGTTTTCTATCGTCTGTACAGCATTATATATAAATTAGGTACTATACGTATAATTATATATTAATTATATATAAATTAGGTACTGTATATATAATTATATATTAACTTAATTTATTGTAACTTTATTATAATTATATATATATATAATTTCTGCTGTCTAGAACCACACTACGGAGAGTTTTGGCTAGTAAGTTGAGTTTATTATCGTCTGTACAGTATGTAAATTAGGTACTGTAAGTCTAATACAGCACTAATTTTATACATTTCTTGTGAAAGAAACATATCTGATTTAACGGCCATAAAAATTATTTATATTAATGATGTCTCCAAAGGTCAAGTTATTTTTCTGCGAAAAATTCGTTATCAGAAATCGCGGCCGCCGTTTCGTGCGCTATTCCGCGACGATAACAAGCTTGAGCAACGGCGTAGTCGAACGGTGCACACTCGGTAAGTATTCCTACATTTTTTTGTTTAGAGCGTAGTTTATACGGATTATTCCCAAAAAATTATACGTGTTTTAAAAATGTTGAATGGAATTAGTCTAGATTCGGTTAATTTTATAGAAGAAAACCTTTCAAACAGCCTTAGTCCGTAAACTTCAAACGTGTCGGCTGCAATTGGCTCATGTATTTAATGATTCCTACAACGTAAAATTCGAATAACGTGCAACGTATCTAAGCGTTATACGGGGGGTCTACTGTACTGTATACACTGATAAGTAATAGATGTGAAAATTGTATGGGCCAAAAAAAAAAATGTTTTGCTTAATCAGTTTGTTGTGCTTTTGATATTTTTTACAATAACATTTTTATAACGTAACATTTAGTGTGAAAAATATGAACAAATGCAGCAACGAGTTTCTTAACTTCACCAGAAACCAACAAAAATTGGTTTGAGGCGATCTGCTATGATTTTTTGCTTTAAAAACTTATTATTAGTGTTGTAACGAATAGTATACTCGGCCTCAGGCCGAATACCGAATATTCGACCAGGAGCGTGGCCGAATAGAAGAATATTCGGCCAAACTATTCGGCTCGATTATCGCACGTACGAAAATTGGCGCGCAAACCGCATTATGGCAAGGACATCGCTCTCTATTGGCACGCTGTCACTATGCTTCGCCAATCGCGTTAATTCTTGGCAGTTGAAGCGGACAGACATGAGCGTCATGGCAGTATGTGGTAAGTGATGATATCAAATGTGGATAACAATGAAATGTCCTACACGTGTAAATAACGGAGAAAGAACACAGAAGGACGGCGAAGTGAAAATGTGATAATAAATATGAAATTAAGTCGACTTTCATGTAATGAAATAAGTGTATTTCATTACATGAAATAAGTGAAAGTCACTTAGCGTGCACGGGCGAAAGCCTGGGGCCGTTCGGACTATCAAGCTGTCTCGAATCTGTGAAATCATAACTGTGATTTCACTTTTATCGACGTCCTATCTGTCTCTTTTCTCCGTTATCACCACGCTGGGTCACGTAATTGTAAAATGGGAACTCTACGACGGAAAAGTGACGAATCGAAAGTATCGTGAGCGCGTATTATGATGTATGCACAGGCATACGTGGATTAGAGTGATAGAGAAAAGACGAGCGCTTACAAAGAAGGATAAACAGGGTCAGACCCTCAGATGTGCGAGGATTCTCCAACGATAGACGTGTACCTGTGCTGATCTTTGTAATTATAAATTGTAAATACATGTGACTAATATTATTTTCTTTCTTATTTTGCGCATGTTACAAGTTATAAATAAATATAAACAAACAACACTAACTCTATAACATTAACTCTAAATACATAAATAATTAATTTACTGTGTTTTTGTTGTTTATAACTCCTGTTTATAGGCATTTGGTATTCGGCCGAATAGTGATTAAATATTCAGTATTCGGCCGAATAGTGAAAAATAGGCCGAATAGGCCGAATACCGAATAGTAACCGAATATTCGTTACATCACTAATGAAAATCATTACTAATAAAAGTTGAATAATTTTAAAATTTTTACCAAAAGCTGGTTTAAATGTAAAAGGATGAAGACCCTTCTCTTCTCTGTATCCGCTTAATGCCAAACATCCGCCGAAAAAAAACAACTGATAGAAATAACTGAAGAAGACGCACGTTGCGGCATAGAAACAGAATATCCTTATACCCGGAAATGGTGACGTCATGGCAATACAATAAGAGAAGAAATTCGTTAGAGACGTTATGGTGATGGACACTGCAGCGTTGCGATACGTCTGTTCCATTCGCTTTTCTACGCTGTCATTGCAGTCTGTTACCTTCCAACAAGCCAATACCACAAACGAGTCGTCCACTTCCGTAGCTTTAATATATCAAAACAATGTAAATTAGTAATTTTGGTAGTTTCGAAACCGTGCCAGTAATGTTTAGTAATTCGAACATAGATCAATTGTTGTATTTATTCAGACAATTGACAAATCTCGTCATTAATTAAATTAAACTGAATAAAATTTAATAATGAGATTTGCCAAGTGTCTGAATAAATACAATAATTGATTTGTGTTCGAATTACTAAATTACTAAAGCAAAGTATATTTGTACCTGAAAGTATTTTATGGATTATCTTACCAAGAATCATGAAAGGAAGGCTGACATTCCACCGAAGGTTTTGTACTCCACAGGCGGTTAATAATCCAAAAGCGGTGGTCACAGCCAGACCCGCAGATACGACAGTAGCTACGCCTAACCAGGGTTTGCACTTTATCCAATTGTTAGTCATGTTTGTGGTGATGGAGAAAACGGCCACTACGACCACAGCAACGCTTATCAAAGGAACTAATTTCTGTGAAATTCGTATTATTTCAAAACCGGTAGACGCTATTGGCTCGGAAAATGTTTTAATATGCTGGAAACTATAATCCCTCAACTTGTTGTAAACTGCCTTTGTCCATTCTTCATTCCACATTTTCTTACTTGAATTCGATTCGTCTAATACATAGTATAAACGAACCGCTTTTGCTTCAGTTACGTATCCTTTGTCGTCTGTCGTCACCCCTCCTAAATTCAAACAGAGGATTTTGTACGCGTATGTTACAGAATCAATATTAACGGGATATTTCAATGTTAATATTTTATGAATAGTATTTTCGGAGTTGTTTAGCAGATCAATAAGAGTATTTTCTGAACACTTGCCGTCTACACTCTCGCACACGTCCACGTAACTAACATTCTTTCCATCTACATGAGCTATGATATTTTTCACAACCTTATCTACAGTTCGTATTTCGTTTAGAAATTTTTTTCGTAAAATGTTGCTGTTTCTATTATTTACTATGTAGATTATTGGAAAATCTGGGAATTTAATTAGTCGTATAAAATCGAAACTACCTGAATTCACACGGAATGTCTTTTTTATAAACTGTTTTGATTCAAAAACTTTACCTCTGTCAGCAGCTAAGAGAGAATCGATGTCGTCGTTGGTTTGAATTCTAATCAGCCCAATTGATAATAAACCAGAAAGAATGACAGGCGCAATGACAAAATAAACGGGATATCGACTAATTATTACACCAAGTCGACCAATTATACTGGACACCGTGTTGGTCAGACACGAACATTTCGTTTTCTTCGAACTGTCGAATCTTCTTACCTAAAAAATTTAAATAAAAATTACTTCAGCATATGCATTTGAAATGTTTCCTATAGTGAAGTGATTTTACCTGTTTATTCATTGCTATCTTCAGTTAAGAAAATCCTGAATTATCCTAACAATATTTTGCGTAAGGTGCTTCTCGATGATTGATTCTATCAGACTGAATGAAGTACCTTTCACTTTTAAAAATATTTTCCTAAAGTATTAACAATTCTGAGTAGAATATCAGCTTTTTCTAAAGTGTAATTATTCTGTGTTACCTGATATAGTCTTTCCGTCCTACGTCTGATTGGTCGATTTGTTTTGAAATTAACCAATTGAAGCTAGTCTTTGTTAAATACTTTCTGTTATTTTTTCTGTCGAAAACTTGTTCAAAAGGACATTGAATATTTATATTAAAATAAATTTTAACAGAATGTCATCTGATATACGACTATATAAAAACCGATTTAGAAGAAGTATATAAAATATAATTATTGTACGAGTGAAATAACTATTGTTGTAGTTACCAACTATAAATATTTGAAAATACGATTCGTTCTTGTAGCTAATCACTTCAATATTTTAATAAATTTCGGTTAAATTAGTTATTTTTTTTCGTCCGATGGTTCTCTTTATTTTCTAATAATATTTGAAGACAAGTTCGCCCATATAGGGATTACCATTTTTTGCGTAAGACAATACATTTCCGGCGACCGACCTTCCTTTGTAGGCTACTAGCCAGTGGCGTACCGTAGTGGGGGCGGCAGGGGCGGCACTTTTTAGGGGGCGGCAAAATTTAACAATACTGTAAATAATAATAATATCTTGTAAAAATTTGAAACATCCTAATCTATACTTGCATCGCGCCTACGATAGTGCTATCGTCCGGACAGTCCGGGAATCGGCTCGCCGGGTGAACTAGTAGCTGTTTCATCCGAGGAATTCCTGCGTGACCTTTTTTTTGTACGATTTATTCGCGTTCATATACACCACTAATATCAAATAGAACTATTTTAAACAGGTTGCTGCACTACTATCGAATTTTTCATTGCTTGTTCTGTGACAAAACTGAATTTTGGTCTTCTAAATTGAAATACCTAAATAAGGGGGGGGCGAAATTTATCTTCGTCCCGGGCGGCTGACACCCACGGTACGCCACTGCTACTAGCCGCCAAAAAGTTTAAAAAAGTCCTTTTAAAAAACACACAAAAATTTTGGGTTAAATTAATTAATATTAAAGTCTCAAGAATCCTCGCTATTAAAAACTTTCGAAATTACCTAAAATCTATACTAATATATAAAGAGGTAATGTTTGTATGTATGTAAGTTTCGTTACAGCAGGTAATCTCCGAAACTACTCATCCGATTTCAAAAATTCTTTCACCAATATTTAAAATGGAACCTCAGGGTAGACATAGGCTGTATATTATTCCGTTAAACATTCATATAAATTAAAATATATAATCTAGGTTAAGGCTTTTATGTAAAACAGATGGCGCTACGAGTACGACGCCCTAAGTTTGCTTTTCTGTGAGGCATTATGCTTTTCTGTGAAAAAGAACTAAAGCAGATCATCTTCTATCTATCCATATAAATAAAAATGTAATGTTCGTTTGTTCCTACCGATTCCTTTGAAATTTTGACACAACGCTGCATTCGAATGCGCACGTCTTTTTATACCATATAAGTGTCGAAATTTCCCGCACTGGGGGAGATGGACAGGATTAAGGCTTACAGTACTTCTGCTTATATTTATACTATTTAAGATGCAGATTTTTGCGTTTTTGATTGCGTTTTAATAGGATACGTCAACAGAATGTACACTGAGAGGAATTTTTCGATATTCCCCCACGGGGAGAGGGACAGAATTAAGGCTTACAGTGAAGAACTTGACTTCTATTATATTATTTTAGATGCGGGTTTTTGCGTTTTTGATTGCGTTTTAATAGGGTACGTCAAGAAAATGTACACTAAGAAGAAATTTTTCGTAAAATTTCCTCCCCCCACAGGGGAAGTGTTATACATTTATAATAGATACATTTTGAGCCACAACAACGCGTAGCGGGGTCTGCTAGTAATTTAATAAAATGTATATTATACTTTCTTTTAATTAATTACGAGATTATTTTACTATAATTATTTATTATGACTAAAATATAATTAAGGCTCTAACGTGTATTTCGCTTTTAAACAGCTATTTAAGAAGCTTCCGAAAACGTTTCTTTCCTTTATTTTTAAACAAACATGCATACATATTCTTAATTTTTCCCCCCTAATTTTTCTGCCGTTCAGACGTTTGACTCTATTTAATATGATAAACATGAAACAAATGATGGCTTTACTTCTTTTACAATTGAAACTTATTGGCTGAATATGTACTTTGTAGTTTCATCTTTTATGTGTAAAAAATTCGGGATTTCTTCATGCGTGGAACATTTATTTATGATTTACAATTGTAAAATTTGAAGAAAAAGTGTTTTTCTTTGTGGTGTTTTTTAAATATTGTTTTAAGTTTAATTTTAATAAAAATATTTTAAACTTTCATTAATATTTCGTTTGTAGCGTATGTCTTTTATCGATGAAGGAAGTTAATTTGGTAGCAGTCATTTGAACAATAAAAATGACTTCAAAAAATTTTCTTATTGTGCATTGTTTTCAAGATGGAAGTAAAAGAATACTATCAATAATAACCGTCATTATTAATCTTCATAAATTACAGCAATCAAAATAACTTTGAAAATTTATTATTTTCCTTAGAAATTTTTAAAAAATGGAATGATACAACTTCCGAAATTTCTGCACTTGGCCCAACCTGAATAACCTGGCCGACTACGTGTAAGTGCGGTCATAAAGACTATTTTAGCTTTTGGAACAGCAGGCTAAACATTTCCTTATCAAGTATATTTATATTACAATCGCACAGTATTAGACGCCGTACAGATCTTGTATGGGGACCGAGGTAGAGAGTATTCGTTTTTCTCTATGTTTTGGCCGAATGACGTATGAACTGTTAAGAATCGTATATCGGCCCATAAGAGGATTATATACAGTCCTTTGCCGTTCCTAATAGGCATAAATGGCCTATTAGTTTTATGGGGAGAAGACTCTCGTGGGTAGTTATGTGCCACGAAGTTTTGTACCCTGAAAAATAATCGTTCGATCGTTTGTTCGCACCTTGCCATGAGTGTCTGGTTGAAGCAATTTTCCGGATTTTATGCACATGTATAACACTTAAATATGGGCTATTTACCCTTAAAAGACCTCTCGAAATTATTTCTCCCGGGTTAACGTGAATAATGCCGAATAGTCAAGCAAAAAACTATGCAATAATTTTCGTATTAACAGTCAAATGATCCTACATTTTTTTTATTTACCCGAAAAATCCGCAACCTCCTGGACGACTCTGTACAATTTGTTTCCGAAACGGTTTCTATGGTTTACTGGGGTATTTTTGATGGGGTCCGAGGCAAACTGAAATTAATTTTTGGGTGCTTTGACGATGTCAGGGGGTCTGCGAAAGGTTTACCAAAAAAAATAATTGTGATAAATTTTTATCGTAATGAAAGTTAAAAATAAACGGTATAAATAAATTTTTACTTCTTAGGCGAAACATAAGTATACATAAAACACATGAAATGAGAAACATTGCACTGTGGAAATACCTGATAATGCTTCCTGATTATTAAAATGGGCTCTGCGCTTCATTTATTGCATACATTATGACATTTTATAATTTATTTCGTTCGTTTATCGAATTTTACATATTTATTTAATTTTTTTCAAAACAGTGATAATTATTCATTATTATTATAAAACTATTTAATGATAAAAAATGTAATAATTAATTTATTTATTTCGATCAAAAATACGTTCGTCTATGAAAATTCAATAGATAAAATAATGGAAGAATATATAATTTTAAAAAAAAATTATACATTTTTCTATTTTTACTGTATTATACTTGTTTATCAAAAACGGGCAAGCTTTATCTAGTGATTTTAATAAATATTACTTTAAATATCAAAATGTTTTATTTATATTTTACATTTACATTCACCATTTACTATATCCAGACATCAAAATTAAATTTATAATTTTGATATAATACAGTTGTGTAGAGTTATTTCACTTGTGGGTCCGTGTTCAGGTTTTTGTTATGAGAAAGAGTCCGAGGGCATACCAGATAAAGTTTGGGAAACATTATTTTATGGTGATTACACAAATATGATTTTGTTCATTTGATTNAAAACAAAGTCTTGTTGTGTTTCGAAAGAAATTACATTGTTTTTTATATTCTATTACAAGAATTATAATATAAAAATATTTTTTAAAAAATAATAAATAAAGCTATTGTTATTAAGATACGTGTTTGCTTAACGACACCATCTTTATTGTAAAAATTTTTATCTGAAATATTTTTAGTTAATGTAATAATTGTTGTTATTCATTGTGAATTAATATTCATATATTTTGAATAAATATGTAAGTACCAAATTACCGCATTTGTTTTTTATTTACTGCTATCAAAAGTCACAATCATCATCGTAGGATTATAAAGTAAGGAAAATGACATTCAATACTTTACTACATGAATTGTTCGTAAGACAATAGGCTATTGTTTATTTTGAAGGTTTAAGATCAAATGATAAGACTCGCCGAACGGCTTCAGCTAGTTTATAATGCAGATAATTGCTTATAATATAAAGAAACATTTTCTTGACTTTTAAATGATGTTGTGTGTTAATTTGCTTGTTTCGAAGTAGAAAGATTTATGTGTAGCTTTTTAGTCGTAAATCGTGTTTCACTTTACTTATTATTTGTAAGAATTGTAAAAATTTTCTCTGTTTAAACAGCGCATTTTTTCAAATTTATTTATTTTGAAGAAAACGTTCAGTTTATAAATTAAAATAATGCTCTATTTTTATTGAGAATTGAACTTTTTTCAGTCCAAGAATACAGGCATTTTATTATTATTATTGAGTGTGTGTAGGAACGATTCATTTGGAACAATTATTATCTATAATTTACAATTTTAAAAGTTTCTGTTTGGACAAGTTTCAAGGTTTGCATCTACTCACAAAAGGAAGTTAGGGATGTTGGAAAATTGCGTTTTTTGTTTAAATCGAATAATTATTTATTCATCTATTTTGAATTATTCTGCTTACAATAGAATAAAATGACGAGTACCGCATATTAATTTATATAAACTTGATGTCGTTACAAAAGGAGTTAAAAAATACGATCCCAAGTTTCGGGTATTTTCTTAATACAGTGACTATATATTTTTTATAGGATATATTTTTAATGTAATATTATACATTAAAATATAACTTTAAACGCATTTGAAATGAAAAATTAGTCGTTTAACATAATAATTTATATTCACAAGCAAATAATCTTTACAGATAAAAGTCATTTTAGTGCTACAATATAATTGAAAGTGCTTGTTTTTTTTTATAACAGAGACCAATCTTCTTTAATTCGTTCACAGCACAGTTTTAAATTAACGGATGATTACATTCGATCAAATGAGGATCCTGAGATAGCCGTAGAAATGGTAATTTAAGTCGTTCCAACAGATTTTGCTGTGCCGACCACCAATTATGTGTGTAATCATTTGACATTGAATCCAATCTGTAAAGTTTATAATACGCTAGTTTATGGTATTATAAACTTTTATCGTCTAATTTTAAAAGACGTATCCAAAATAAAATTATTACTTTTATTGTAATTA